ATCAGAAGTGTATATTAAATTATTTTTGATATTGTTTAAATGATTTTTATTTGAATAAAAATTATACGTTTAATTATTGCTTATTATTGAAGTAAAAATTTGCCTAAAAGATTTGAATATGTTTAATTGATACTTCGGTTCGAAATAAATAATTTTAGTTAAGCTCGGGCGGATTCGGAGACATACGAAAAATCCTCTAACTCGCCTATTTCGCTAGTTTAACCATTTCATCGAGTTGATGGACAGAAATGTGTGCAACCATTTGAGACTTTTAGGCTTGGCAACTGTGCTTCCGTCAGGAAAGCCAAAACTTGCCTTTCTTTTGTCATTATGCACAATAACGAAGGCCAAGTGAGTGAAAGTGTAGAGTACTCCCTCACTGATTTCGGTGATTTTAGGGTGTATTGTGATGTTATTTTGAACAATTTTTTCCTTTAACGCATATGTTGGAGGAAAGGATCGTTCAGTGTATCGATTTCTAAATGATATTTATGGATCGTCGAAATCAGTGAAAGAGTGGTTAATCTACTAATTCATCGGTAATCAGAATGGAGGAAAATACGAATGAGCAATGTTTTAAACTCATAAAATCTTAATAACTAACATATATATCATTAAGTAATTCATACTTTATTTCATTTTTATTAACAATTTATAGCAGTGAATGATTTCAACTGTCGAAAATGCAATTCAATAAATTCGTCTTAATAAATAAGTATTGTAAAAAAGAAAATATGTACGGTATCGTTTAAAAAAATAAATTAGACTTCGAAACGAATGAATTTTGCAAAAAATAATTTACAACACATAATGTGCTTCTTTATTGGAAACAATATTTGTAGAAATATTTTATTGATAAGTTGAAACTTTTATAAAATCGGGTTTACGGGATAATTGATTCAGATTGTGAATTTATATATTTGTAAAAACGTCATACATAATTATGTTGTTTATAAGAATATTATAATTCAGTCAATTTTTTCTAATATGTTTAAATAGATGTTAATAGTCCAATATATACTAAATTTTTCATCCCACAATTTTCATCAATCTCTGTTTTAAATCGTTATTTTCCTTCATTGATGAAGTATATCACATTCAATTCAATGAATAATTCTGGAAACAACTGGCAACACTGTCCATATTGTTTGATTTTCGCGGTACAAAACTTGCTGAATCGGTACGACAGAACGTGAGACGAAAATGGTAATGGAAATCGTGGCCGAAAAAATACATTGTCATGCAATGTATTCATATATCTCGTCTGTGAAATCATGTAGAGACGATGATCGATAATCTAGTACAATTACCGTACAAAGATAAACAAACAACGTCGTACTTTATTATTTTTAGAACTAATATTAAACAAGGTGTATACAACGAAAACTATAAATTACAACTAATTAATTCCATTAGCATCTATACTCTTTTGACTGATTATTTAACGACGGCTGTA